GGCTTGCCCTCTGACCTAATACAAATAGGAAGGGGGGTTTCAGGGGGGCTTGCCCTCTGACCTAATACAAATAGGAAGGGGGGTTTCAGGGGGGCTTGCCCTCTGACCTAATACAAATAGGAAGGGGGGTTTCAGGGGGACATGCCCCCCTGAATTTTACCATAATTTAATGTTTTAAGGTTTGATATCTTAGCTCACCGCGAATCGATCGTACAGATCTAGAGATCTAGATCTAGATCTAGAATCTAGATGTAGGTCAAATAAGGGGGGTGGGAACTACCGAAAAAGCACCAGATTGTCTGTGTGCATGATAGTCATGATGATCGCCTAATAATGATCAAGATATAGATTCTAGATCTAGATCTAATCTATCTAGACTTCTAGACTACTGCCAGACTTCTAGATCTAGACTTTTCTAGATCTAGAATCTAGAGATCTAGGCACAAAAGGAGTGTTTCTTTGCTTCTTTTGTATGGATTTGATTTTCCATTCTGATATTGCTGACAATAATGGCGAAGGGCTAGAATCACTAGATCTAGATTTAGATCTAGAATCTAGATCTAGATTTTAGATCTAGAATCTAGGTCTAGACTTAAGATCTACTACAGGAGTAGGAGAAAGCAATACCTTTCTGCTTCTGGAAACTCTAGGTCTGTAGATCTAGAAATGTTGGGACAGAATTCCAGTTTATCATTTTCCTTGTGACATTGAACAGTGTAGGCAGTGGATTCAAGTCATTCCAGGTGGTGGATTGAGCATTTATTCCGCTTATTCTGCTTGACAAGCTCAACAGGTAAGCATGAGTCAGTAGAACTCATAGATGTATACTATAGGCAGGAGATAAGTCTATGGTAGAACGCATAGATGTACACTATAGGCAGGAGATAAGTCTATGGTAGAACTCATAGATGTACACTATAGGCAGGAGATAAGTCTATGGTAGAACTCATAGATGTACACTATAGGCAGGAGATAAGTCTATGGTAGAACTCATAGATGTACACTATAGGCAGGAGATAAGTCTATGGTAGAACTCTAAGGTCTCTGTCACTTGTATGTTCTTGCAATTCTCATGACCACCAAGTAGGCTAGAATCTAGAAGACCTATTTAGCATAGATCTGGGCAAGTCCCAAGTGTTGACCTAGATCTAGATCTACTTGCAATCCTCGTGCCCGCTAAGTAGACTAGTATTTAGACCTGGGCAAGTCCCAAGTGTTGACCTAGACCTAGATCTACTTGCAATTTTCGTACCCGCTAGGCTAAGTAGACTAGATCTAGTATTTAGATCTGGGCAAGTCCCAAGTGTTGACCCAGATCTAGCAAAATATCCCTCAATCAAAAGACAAATTATTTTAACGCACTGTACAAACTTTGAGTATAGATCTAAATCTAAATCTAAACTCAGTGAACCAGTGTGTAAAGAAATGCTCAAAACTGACATGTTTCTCATAAATGTAGTGTTTTCAGTTAGATCTAGTTGATTTAATTCAAATACATCTACCACCCCCACTACTTGCAAGGACTTGCTCGTCCTAGGCGGATTGGTTGAGTCCATTTCCTAGATAAGGGGTGGGTAATACCACCCCTATTACTTGCTAGGATTTGCCCGTCCTAGGCGGATTGGTTGAGTCCATTTCCTCGATATGGGGTTGGCAGTACCACCAGTTGGTTGGAGAACAACAACATTATGTTGATAGTGATAAAGGGAAGTAATGCAGGCTTTACTATTCACATTACACAAAGTTTGTTACTTCCCCTGGACTTGCAATTGGGGGTTTGGACTTGCGGGTCTCAAGGTGTAGGACTTGAAATTTGCAAACTTATTTATTCCAATGTTTCGCAATTCTGCTCAAGCCTAGTACACCATTCCCTTCTGTCTAGAAAGTGACACGTTTTGTGGCAATCCTGTACAATTGTGGTCCCGTTTGTTTACATGACGGCCATTGTGGAAGTGAATCTAGAGATCTCTAGATCCTAAATAGCCAAGATGATCTTTCTCTAGATCTAGATCTCTAGAGATTAGATCTAGATCTAGATATAATTTTATTTCAGTTTCGATCTAAATAAGAAACACGTACAAATTACTACAGGGGCACTTAGGCCTAGACTAGATCTAGTGTGATTTAGTGCTAACGGTACCACAATAGTACATGAGTTCTGTGTGGCTTTGGTTGACACTCACACTTGACACATCTGTCGATACATACACACACAAACCTAACACATGTATTGACACACACACTCACACACACTCACACACACAAACACTCTCTCTCTCTCTCTCACACACACACACACACACACACACACACACACACACACACACACTCACACTCACACTCACACTCACAAACACACACACGCACACGCACACACATCCCTGACACATATATTAACACACATGTATCCCCCCCCCCTTGTATGTACACACCAGCCGGCAGACATTACCATCGTGAAGTCGATGAAGTCCCCGCCCTATGGAGTCAAGCTGGTCATGGCGGCTGTCTGTGTCATGAAAGACATCAAGGCGGTCAAAGTGGATAACCCTGATAAACCCGGACAGAAGGTGTGTGTGTGTGTGTCTTTGTGTGTGTGTGTCTGTGTGTGTGTGTGTGTGTCTGTGTGTGTGTGTGTGTGTC